GAGAGAGAGAGAGAGAGAGAGAGAGAGAAGCGGCGGCGGCAGTGACGACGGGCACCTCGGTGATGGCAGGCAGCGACGGGCGTCGACGGGGTGGGCAGCAACGGGCGTCGACGGCGGGAGTACTACGTTGGCGCGGCCGCACTTCGACCACACTACACTGGGCAGCGGCGGGAGCAACTCGATGCTTCGAATTCGAAGCTGGCGCGCGCCAAAAAATTTTGCGCGGGGTGGCGGGGAGGCTCCCAAGGCCCAGAAATGTCAAAACAGCCCCCCCCCCCCCCCCCCCCCCCCCCCCCCCCCCCCCCCCCGTGCAAAATTGCGCTGGGCCCGCCCGGCATCGAACCGGGGGACCCAACCGGCCGGGCCCCCCGGGACCCCTGCCGGACGGAGGCTGGGCCGCCGGGCGGCCCGGAATTTAACACAGATTCAAATGGATCTCGAAGTTGTTGAGAAGGTTTTCCAAAAGCAGTATATAAAGCGTAACCAGTGACACTTACGAGTAAACAACATATAAATATAGTTATGAAGGTTGCAGTTTCCATTTAGATTCCCTCTTTGAGTGAACTTTGAAGAATGTTTTTTAGTTGTTAACTTATTATAATAGACCATATGGAAAATTAACAAATTTTGATGAAAAAATAAAAATTACAATTTATGGCTACACAAATCGTTGAAGATACTATTAAATCGAAAGGTTTATAGTATTTGTGCAAGGAAAATGAGATATAGGGAAATGACAGAAATCCAGGGTGCAAAATCACATTGAAAGCCAGCAAGTCCAAACGCTGTCCAGAAAGCAGTAAGGTGGACGAATAGGTGGAGGAGGGGGAGGAGGTGAAGACGTGGAGGAGCGGGAGGAGGACAAAGACGTGGACGAGGAGGAGCAGGAGGAGGACGAAGACGTGGAGGAGGAGGATCTGGAGAAGGACGAAGATGACAAACACAATAACAAAGATCCGGAAGAAGAAAAAAAAAAGACAGAAAAAGGCGCCATGTGGCGCGGGGACAGGCAAGGGGGGGAAGTTTATAGCGAGTACATGACGCCAACCAAGACGAGGGGGAGGAGGACGGAGAGAGGAGGGCAAAGACGGGGACGAGGAGGAGCGGGAGGAGGATGAAGACGAGGAATACGGCGACAACGATCTGGAGAAAAAAAAAAAGACACAAAAAGGGTGCCACGTGTTAAGGGAAGGTAGTGGGGGAGGTTATAGCAAGTACATGATGACGACCAAGACGAGGAGGAGGAGGAGCATGAGGACAAAGACGTGGATGAGGAGGAGCAGGAGGAGGACGAAGACGTGGAGAAGGAGGAGGTGGATGGAGGAGCAGAAAGGAGGAGGAAGCCATGATAACGAAATGACAAGAGAGAGAGAGAGAGAGAGAGAGAGAGAGAGAGAGAGAGAGAGAGAGAGAGAGAGAGAGAGAGAGAGAGAGCTGCTTGCGCTGCTACTCGCGCTGCCTTTGGTGTGCCCACTGCCTGCTCCACATCTGCTCCTTGCCTGCTATCGTGACCTTGTTGCCCTGCTTCTTCCTCCCTCTGACGATGGCGGTAGTGGTGGGCATGCAAGCTTGAACGTTGTTATGGGAGGGAATTCCAGAACTCCACGATGCAAGGACGACATTCAAACGGGCAGAAAACATAAAAGGAGTAAAACTTCCCACAAGTACAAAAAAAAATTTCTGGCCCTACCTGATGTCCCTTCAGGGCCAAAAAAAATCTGGTCATATTTTTGGGTGGCGCCCTGGGCGTGACGAAAAGTCCTGCACCGCCAAAAGAAAGTTTGGCCACTGGCCAAAGGGTCTGGAATCTGGGTTGGGATCTGGACACCGGGTCTGGATCCCTGTCCGCAGGTTCAGATCGCTGCCATGGGTTGTACACAAGGATGTCACCAAGGAGGTGTATGGCCACAAACTGATGCAAACAACCATTTAAGAGACTATTCCTTGCCTGTTGGAATGTTCCGGGTGTGTTGGTCAGCCCAAAAGACATGGTAGTGAACTCTTAGCTGCCATAGATCCTGAATTCTGTTTGGTGCTGATCTGGAGAGTCCTCAATGTAATTACTGTTGTGAAATTGCCGTACACATTGTGTTTTCGACTAAGACTGTGTGTGCTTTGAGCGTATAATCATGATGATTTGTGTGTGCTGTTTTCGACTAAGACTGTGTGTGCTTTGAGCGTATAATCATGATGATTTGTGTGTGCAAGGCATGGATATTCGTGATTGGCTGGTCAGATTCACATCCATCTGCTTTTCCAGGCGCCTAGGCACCCAACTTATGCCCAGTTACACGCGCGGGTGCCCGGCCGGGCATGACCCCCGGCCGAGGTTCTGGGCAGCCCCAGCGCAAAAGAATAAAATAAAATAAAACCAAAAAAAATCCGGGAAAAAAAAGTGTTGTGACAGTTGTGTAGAATTGCAATACAAACCTAGGCTGGTCACCAGGCCGCCCGGCGACCCGGTTGTCGCCTGGGGGGGGGGCGCGGGGCCGCCTGGCTGGTTGTTCCACCCGGTTGGCCACCGGTCAACCCCGGCGCACTGAAGGAGTGAGAGGGGGTTCAATTTTTTTCGGCCCGGGGGGGCTTTTTGGCCCCATAGGTCGTAGAGGGCCCCCCCCCGAAAAAAAACGGATCCAGTAGGCCCGATTTCAATGTGGAGCAATATGGACATGTGCTTTCTCTCCAGGTTTGTTTTCTTTTTTCGGTCTTGTCTTCTTCTTCTTCTTCTTCTTCTTCTACTTCTTTCTTCTTCTTCTTCTTCTTCTTCTTCTTCTTCTTCTTCCCCTGAACCACCACCCTCA